CTTTACTATTGCAATATGTCTTTTAATTTCCTGGCTGCTGGTGCCAAGAATGCTGATTGTGGAGCCAAGCAAATGAAAGCTGTTAACAATCTCAATCTCTTCACAATCTATCATGATGTTGCCAATTGGTCCAGTGGTGAGAATCTTTGTATCCTTGATACTGAGCCTCAATCTATTTTGAAGGCTGCAGTCCTGAAGGCTGCAGTCCTTGACCTTCTGCAGCAAGTTGCAAATAACAGGTGTTCAAAAACCCTATGGTTTTCTGGAAGAGATCTGTATTTGTTCCCATTCCAAAGAAAGGCGATCCAAACAGGGTGTGGAAATTATCAAACAGTATCATTAATATCACATGCAAGCAAGACTGTGCTGAAGATTATCCAAAAACGACTGCAACAGCACATCAGCAGAGAACTGCCAGAAGTCCAGGCTGGGCTTAGAAGGAGTTGTGGTACTAAGAATATTGTAGCTGATGTCAGGTGGATCTTAGCTGTCGGTGTTTCATTGACTATGCAAAGGCGTTTGTGTGGATCACAACAAAGTGTGGCTGACTCTAAGAGGAATGGAAATCCCAGAACACCTGATTGTGCTAATGAGAAACCTGTACTTTGACCAAGAGGCAGTTGTCAAAACAGAGCAAGGAAACACTGCATGGTTCAAAATTGGGAAGTATAACACCAGGGATGTGTCCTGTCTCCATACATTTTAAATCTATATGCTGAACAGATTACCTGGGAGGCTGGGCTCTACGAGGAGAAACGCAGCATCAGGATTGGAGGCAGACTCATCAACAATCTGCATTACGCAGATAACACAACCCTGTTTGCTAAAACTGAGAAGGACCCGAAGTGCTTGCTGGAGGTCAAAGACAATCTGCTTACCAAATGCAAAAAGGACCGGAAGTGCTCACTGCAGAAGATCCAAGACCACAGCCTTCAGTATGGACTAGATCTCAACATCAGAAGACAAAAATCCAACTAGGGCCAAGAGGCAACGTGATGAGAAATGGAGAAAAGCCTGACACTGTCAATGATTTCATCTTGCTTGGATCCACATGCATCGCCCTTGGCACCAGCAGTCGGGAAATCAGAAGACATACTGCCCTGGGGAAGTCTGTCAAGGACCTCCGCCCCGTGCTTGGGAACAACCGTGTCAGTTTGTGGTACACCTGATTCAAACCACGGCCTTCTCAATGACTTGTTATGCATTTGGAGGCAGGACAGTAACTGAAGATGACAGAAGAATGGTGCCTTTCAGCTGTGGTGCTGGCCAACAGTGCTGAGATCCTACAGCAGAGCAGCTACGTCTCGGGGACGTGCGGCCAGGTGCTCCTAGAGGCGTGGACAGCAAAGCTTCGTTCTTCATTTGGGGCACGGCTTCAGGAGGGACCAGGACATCAAGGCATTAGGTGAAAAAAGACATGTTTGGAAAGGTGAAGGGTCAGCGAAAGAGGGAATGAGCCTTAAGGAGACGGAGTGACAGTGACTGACAACAGGCTCACGTATGTCAGAAGTGGAGGATGGCACAGGCTGGGGCAGGGTCTTTTGGTCACAGGGTCACCATCAATCTCAGTCAACAACTTGAAGGCAAAGAACAAGTCTGGCTGCAGAGTGAGCTCTTTAGCCAGCAGGGGGCACTGCAGTCTAGGTGACTGACCACACCAGAGTGGACCAGAGGGCCACTGCAGAGGAGACAGCTCACCACAGAGCCTGCGAGGCCATGAACGTGGCGTTTCCCCAGCTTCGCCTCGCGAGCCTGGGACCAGCTCTCCCTCCTTCCTATGGTATGCACTAGCTAGCTGACAGTTCTCATCAAACTGCCCAGATGCTCCCGAGTGCCACTGAACATGCCAGGGAGACAGGGCACCACCTTCTGGAGGACACGTCAGAAGATGGAGTGCTCCTGTGTGCTCCGAGGGTGGGGGGGCCTGTCCAGGTGGACTCTTCTGCAGAGGCCTTTGCAGGTCACCCACATGGCCACAGCACAGGGTGCACAAGAATAAACAGCTGTGATCGAACAGGAACCCAGGGCCCTGGCACAGTCCTCTGGCTTCTCAGGGCTAACTGTCCAGAAGTCCCAGTGACGAACGGACAGCCATGTGCCCGCTGAGCCAGTTCTGTCAGGGTCCACAAAGCAGGCGTCTGCAGGTCTGACCTGTCATCTGAACAGAACAAATCCCTGGCTGAGGCTGTATGCAGAGCCACTCGGCCTGCCATCACCTTAGAGGATTCATTTCCAAGGGACAAGAGATCCAACCGCCACTGCTCTAAGAGTCCATTTCGAGGTGGACTTCAACCTGTCATGGTTGTCATCGCAGTGACCTTTCTGGTCTGTCACGACCTGACACTTGATCTGCCTGGTGGCTCTTCTTCAGCCGTGATGAAGCTAGGTGGGGCACAGGGAAGGGTTCCCCTGCTCACAGCTGGGACAGCCTGGTGTGCTGAGGGCAGGCAGCTGTGGCCCACGCTCCGTAACCTCTCCTGAAACTGGCCTGGGGGAAGAGACCCCAGTGGCCATGGTCTGAGACCAGATCCCTCTGATGTTGGAGGCCCTCCATGCTCACAGCAAGTGGGGGAGGTCTCCCAGACTCCCCAGAATGGAGGCTTGGGACCCCACTTCCAAGGCTCAGAGCAGTGATGGGCTCCGAGCGTCCTATGCCGAGCAGATGTGGGCCATCTCAAGTCCTCCTCCCTTCGCCAGGGAGGGTCAGGGTCAGGGCCTGCCTATTTGTTACAAATAAGACCTATCTCTTCAGGCGTCGTGCAGCAGGGAGACGACACAGACACACCTCCAGGGCAGATGAGATAAAGCGAGGGCCCTCACAAGTGCGCCATCCCCACATCCCTGTACAGGCACACGCATGAAGGAGCCAGGTGCCCCTCATCCATCGCAGAACGCGCCTCACGGGGTCCCGAGCTGGACGAGCCCTGAGAACCGAGATGCAGGCCTGACAAGGCTGGAGAAACCCGAGTCCTTCAGGACTGTGCATGGTGACTCCAACACCGAGGACACAGAGACCCAAGTCGGAAAGAAAGGGGGTTCAGGGGAACCCAGCTGTGAGCACATGATGCGGCACTCACTAGCAGGCTTGTCCCTGCGGCCACCACAGGTGAGCACGAGGCCTGATGTGAGGAGAGGGGGTGAGGGGATGGATGTATCAGGGTTGAACCCTGCCCGTGGGGCAGCCACTGACCGGCCAGGCTCCCAGCTAGACCTGCTCTGAGCTCTGTGGGCTCAACAGGCTGGGCCCCACACAGGCAGCCTCAGCTGTCACTGGCAAGCTCCTCTGGGAGAAGGTCCCAATTCCTGTGACTCAGCCTGACAGAGTATCCTGAGTGGTGTCTGCAGAAGGGAGTGAGGACCCTGTGGGCCACTGAGTGCTGTCTCCCCTTCCCCCAGTGTCCTCTCAGCCATTGTGCTCGCTCCCAGAAGCACCATTCACCTGTCTGCCACCCGAAGCCTTGTCCCCAGCACTACCAGAGAAGGAGCACCGCGTCCCACTGTGGCCAGCCCCCAGCACGGACCCAATCACGGCTGGGAGGGAGCCCACCTCCTCAGACTAACACCAATGGCTGTCAGGGTCCAGCAGGGGCAGCGGTCTACACGGGCCAGTGACGAAGGCCCAGGAAGCCCCAGCAGCTCTTCTCGTGAGGGCCCAGGAGACCCACCTGGTCTCAGAAGAAGTTCTTTATCAGCGGGGTCACCATCTTCACCCACAGCTTCACCTGTCGGCCTGGCTGCTCAAAGGTGGCCGATGACACCACACCTGAACGCAGGTAGAGCTGTTCTTGCTCCTAAGGAAGAGAAGACAGGAGCCGTCAGCCATCCCCTCCAGATGGGGACCCTGCCTGCGGACTCCAGCCCAGGACTCAGATGGTGACCTCATGTGTCAGTCCTGGTCCCCTCCGTGAGAAGCCCCTCAGGCGGCCAGGGAGACCTGAGAGCAGGTCTGCGCAGGGCGGGACGAGTTGGGGCCGAGCTCGTGAACACACGGAGGAAGGCAGACTCGATGCTGAGCGGACGCCGGGCCTCCAGCCGGGGATGGAGACAGCATGAGCTGCACATTTAATGTCCCCACGTGCAGGGAGACGACGGCAGTTTGTACAGGTTCCTCTTAATCAAAAATCCCCTCACTAAGAACAAGAACTGAGGCTCTGCTTTTGGAATCGACTGTTCCTTGGTGTAGGACATACGGGGTGCAGCCATCTTCCTAGGGAGCGAGCTTTGGGGCTGCACCAGCAGCCGGGGGAGAAGACGCCCGGGTCACTCCCAGGACTTCTGTGGAAGTTTCCTGCAGCAGCGTGGCTAACGGGGAACCTGGAAAGCCCCTAGTGTCCCCCACAGGGAGCCCAACACCCACACTGCGTGCCAGCACTCCCCAGGGGACACAGCTCCAGTGACCACCAATGAGGGGGTGCGCCCGCAACAAGAAACCCGCACACCTGAGCCCTCGGTGGGCCACCCTCTCCAGGTGCCTACAGGGACTTCCTGAGGTCAAAGGGTGGACTTCGGCCCATCCTGCCCCATTTCGACAATGAACCTGTGGGACTGTACTATTCTGAAAGGACACGGCTGCAAACACATGCCTTGCACTTCGGCTCTCTGCACGAGAGGGCCTTGCTTCTAAGACCTGAACTTGACCAGGCTGGGCTTCCTCAAACAGGGCTGCGGCAGCTGTCAAACTCAAGGCCACTGGCAGGGGCTCGGGTCTCACCCCACGCTGGCCCGGGGGGGATCTCGGACATCTGTAACCTAGAGCAGCGTGCGGCCAGCCTCCTCTGTGTGGGACAACAATGGGGGGCAGGAGGGTTCGCTGTAACCTGCAGGGTGTCACAGGGTGCCTGCAGTGCTGTCTGCTGGGAGCAAGGGCAGTCCTCTCCCATTTGGAGGATCAGAGGACCCTGAGGAGCACCACAGAAACGGTGCCCGACGTTTGGCACACTTCTCCCTGCCTCTCCGGCCTCTGAGCTGAGGAAGGTGCGAGCCCTGCCGGGCTGAGCCTGCCGGAGGAGCCAGCCCACTCCCATGGGGCTGCTTTGCACAAGTCTCCACAGACCTGGCTCCAGCTTGGTGTTTGCAGCCAAGACTTCAATTAAATTACCAGAAACACTTGAGTTTCCTCACAGACTCCACAGCAGGGCAGAGAAGGAAGTCAGCTGACCGAGGTGACAATACGACTCAAGGGGCATTTCGTGGGTCACAAGTGGTAAACTGTGTTCTCTGAACAAAACCAGGAAGCTTTCCACGTTTATTGTATGTACTTATGAAGAGAGGGACTTCGGGTGCTGATAAAAATATCTCCTGATTCCCAGGGCTCACAACGGCCTGTTTCCCAGAGAGGGCCAACCTGGGGCTGGGAGGGCGGTGGCACTCGGCACACACTTGGGTCCCCCAGGAGGTTGGCCACAGTCCTGGCACACACACATCGGCAGAACCATCTAGAAGTTCATGTGCATCTCAGAGGCACCAAGATCAATGCGTCTCCAAGAACGGAAGCGCCTGCCGCCCTCCCACAGCCGGGGCCCCTGGGACTTGGGTTTGGGAAGAGAAAGCAAATCTCCCTAACAGGCCACTCGGGAACACGGCTCCCAACCACGATGGCTCAGCTCTTCTTCAGCTCCAGGATGTGGGTTCAGTCCCTCAGGAAGTGGGAAGGGCAGCCAGCGCTGGGACCCTGCACACAGACCTGGAGGCCTGCTCCCCTGCTCTGCCTGAATCTCCAGAGACCTTCCGGCTCCAGTGGGCACGGTCCCCAGGGGCAGGGTGCGGAGCCAGCTCTCCCGCCCCGGAGCCCGTGCCCCTCAGGAGGGTGGTCGGGAGCCGAGATGGTCTGGACTCTCACCGAGGGCATCCGCGGTCTCTGGCTGAGATCTCTGCCGCAGGAAGAAAGCTGCTGAACAAGTGGGTCACCCCACTGGCCCCAAACAGGGCATGACCCCTGTCACTTCCTCTTTGTCCTGGTCGTAAAGCCCTTCCTGGCACTTAGTCCTCGATTCCTGACAAGATTCCCAATCGTGGGAGGGCAGGTCCCGGGACAGGGCCCTTACCACTTCCTCATCCAGCAAGCAGGCTGCATTTCGCAACAGCAATTCCCACACCCGGACAGCGATGGCTGACAGTGTCAACTGATGCTGCCGAGGCAGGCTGGCGGGGCTACCTGCTTTCCCAGGAGTCAGGAGGGACCCTGCCCGGGAGGCCTTGCTGGCCTGAGCCCTGTCCAAGCCTCACACGAGATGGGCTTCCATCTCGGTGACTTCAGAGGAGGAAGAGGATGCGGCCACTGCAAGCGCAGCCAGTGCTCCGAGGAGTCAGGACGGCGAGACCACGTGTCCTGTACTCAGAATGTGCTGTCATCTCGGTGGTAAAATGTAGACTCACGCAGAAAGAGGAAGGCCCTCAAAGAGCTGGGCCGGCACAGTGACTGCAACAAAGCCTCCAGCACCGCACAGTGGAGGACCAGGCTCCGCTCTGGTGGAGGAGACAGGGCCCCTTGGCAGTGCTAGAGACCACACGGCCCACTGCCCACCACCAGCCAGGAACAGGTGATTCTCACTCCTAAGAGGCTGGGGAATGAGGCCCTCTCATCCCAAGACACGTCTGTTTATGGGAGCAACTGGAGTCCCATTGTCGCCCAGTCTCCTCGTGGCTAACAAGGGAGAACACCTGCTGACCAACCACCTGGGCCCCGCTTCCAGTGGGTTCTCCCCATCTGAGTGAGACAGAAAAGGAGGGGTCTGAGACTGCACAGGACTGAGGCCCCCAACACCACGCTGCCAGGACGACAGCCAGTCCTTTCAGGTGCCTGTCCCCGATATGAACAAGGGCACCATCCTGCTCCCTTACGCCCTGACCTCAGACCTCCAAGTTCAGAGGGTTGTGTGTGGACTGGGGCTCAGGCTGCCTCCATGTTTCAGTGCAGTGCACTACTCCAGCTTTTTGAGAAATCAAAGAGCTCAGAAGTCAAGTCACTTTAGAAGCAGCCAAATGGCCAGTGCTAAAGGACAGTTGAGAGGGACACAAGACAGACATGAAGAGGAAAGTGAAACCTCTGCAGTTACACTGAAAGCCATCCATACCCTGGCTATGTCTAAGAGCCACTTCCCCATAATGCCTTGTCCCCAACCCCTGTTGCCTGACCCAGTCACCCAATAGCATTCTCTCCATGATACTGTGACCTGGTCCTCCAAGAGCCATCTCCCTGTGGTACCTTCACCCAGCCCCTCAAAGGCCATCTCCCTGTGGTACCCTCACCCGGTCCCCCAAGTGCCATCTCCCTGTGATGCCCTGACCTGATCCCCCAAGGGCCTTCTCCCCATAATACCCTGGCCCAGTCCTCCAAGAACCATCTCCCTGTTATGCCCTGAGGACTCATTTTCCGAAGAGGCTTCCCCAACTCCCTGACCCTAGCCTGTCTTTCCACTGTTCTGCTGTCCGCCACATCAGCCTCTAGCTCCATGCTTTGAACTACTCCGTGGAAGAGTCTTTTCCTGAACTTGCTAAATGCTGCTGGAAGCTCTTCCCTAGGGATCCAGGTCTGAGGCACCCCACCTTCCACTCCCTTGCCCCTGGGGCAGGAAAGCATGCCCTCAGCTCTGCAAAGGTCTGGCCCATTGCTGGTGGTCTTAAGGAGTCTCCAACTTTGCTCCCTCTGCTCACACCCCAACATGACACAAGAGCAGAGGAAGCCCTCTGGGGGACAGTCCTCATGGGGCATAGACACTGTAGGACATCTCAGAGAAACAGCCTTCAAGGAGGACAGCCCTCGTGGGGGACTCTCAGGGAGGACAGCCCTCGAGGGGGACGGTATTTCTGGGAGGACAGCATTCACTGGGGTCAGCCCTCGTCAGAGAGCTCAGGGAGGACCAGCATTCAGGGGACGACAGCCCTCAGGGGCCCCAGACCCAAGGTCTCCCACCGCCTCGCCCCACCTGGTGGAGCTGCTGCTGCAGGGCTCGGTTTTCCGTCACGATGGCGATCTGGGCCTCCAGGTCCCGATGAACTGACCTGTACCCAAAATTAGGAGAGCCAATCAGCGTGAGGCAGGGCAGGCTGCTCCCTGCCAGGTACAGCCAGAGGCCTGCAGGGAAAAGGAAATGTGCAGACAGAAGTGAGCGCACATCTGCCAGGTTCAAGCCTGCTTCACCCGAAGAAGGGCAGCGCCGCACTGCAGCAGAGCCCACCTGTCTGGCCAGGTGCTGCTGAGGGCACTGGGGCCTGGATGCCTGGCCACCTTCCCAAATATGACAAAAAAGTGATTCCCAAAGGGCCGTGGTGGCGCCCATGCAGGGCCCCTGCTCACTGACTGCTCCCCCGGGCGCAGGGCTCCACCCTCTCCCAGCAGGCTAGCTGCACCTGGGATTACAGGGCTCCTGTGACCACAGAGAACCAGAGCACAGAACCTCCCAGCCCAGCAGAAGAGGCACCACCCCGTCACTGAGGGCCCCTCTCTAGTCCAGGGTGGCAGGCCTAACCTGTGCCCCCTCCCAAGGGCTGCCACCCAGTCCAGAGGGGGCCAGGAGGAGGGGCTGCTAGCACAGTCATGGTGCGGGAGTGCCCGGGGGCCACCAGGGGCTAGTGAGGACAGACGGAGCCCTTCAAAGTAGGTGCAGGTGGGCACTGTTTGTGCCTAGCTGTGCCCCCCGCCCAGGGAGCCTGCTGCTCCACCAACTCTAGGGACCCACGGCAATAAAGGCTGTGGCCTGTGCTCTCAGGCCTCTCTTCAACAATGCACCCTCCACCTCACACCCTGCACGCCCAGGCTCACAGACAAGGGTCTGCATCACAGAAATGCTTTCCTCTGAAGATTCCACTCAAACCCAAGGCCAAATGTCCAAGACTCCCTCCCCAAGGCCAGGCTGGAGACCTGACACCTGTCCTCTGTGTGCGACCGTCCCCAGCACCAAGGCTGCTGGCCCAGCAGAGCAGACCTCCCCACGTCACTGTCTTTGCCCCCCACCACAATGCACAGGATCTACCACGCACGCACACACGCACATCAGCAGGGCACAGCGCACACCAGGGCCCAAAATAGAAGGCCATTTCCTAAGTCCCACTCAGAGCAAGAGCATTTCCAAGAACATCTTGGGTAAGAGATGACGCGGCGTGTGGCCTGTTCCTGTAACGGTCTCCTCCCCCACCGAGGGCCACATCAAAGTCACTGGCTGGCCATGCACAGCCCTGCATCCAGGCACACTGCAGCCGCCAGCAGTCCCTGCGCCCACCCTGCTCTGGAGCCTTGCACGGTGCATGCGCGTGGGCACGGTCTTCCAGCCAGGAGCTCCTCACACACAGTCCACTGGCTCGGTCTCCCCGTCCACATCCACACGCACGTCTAAGGCCACGCCTAGAGCGAGCTGTGGACAGAGTCCCCTCCTCCAGCCTCACGACGCAAACTCCGACGAGCTGCCACTGAGTCACAGCTGACCCACAGCTGACCCTGCAGAGGGTATGCAGAGGCTGTACACCTTATGGGAGAAGACTGCCTATCTTTTTCTCCTTGGTGTAGCTGGTAGCTTCAAAGCACCTGCTGGTAGCTTCAAAGCACCTGCCTTTGGGTTGGCAGCACAACTCTTCACCTACTAGTCCACCAGAGCTCCAGCATCCCGGCAGAGGACAAGCACAAGCTCCTGCTGGGCGACACCAGTTGTTACTTCCGGGATGGGCGCTCAGGGCCCTCTGGGAGGACGGTGAGGTCTGGGTGCCAGGAGCACTCTGGGAGGACGGTGAGGTCCAGGCACTGGAAGCACTCTGTGAGGACGGTGAGGTCTAGGTGCCAGGAGCACTCTGGGAGG